GATGCAGAGTGGGAACTGATGGAGCACTGTTCTTGTCAGGTTCCAGATTTAATAGAAATGGTTTAAGAGCTGCTCCAAGGGAGGATGTGATTTACTGTCTCTGAAAATCCATTGAAGGTTCAGCTTCGAGTTGATTCTGACTCAATGGCACACAGCAACAACAATAATTTATATAACATTTACTAATTTTTGTTTCTATAAAAGACTTTTATTTTAGCATTTGTATGCTTCTATTTTCTTTCCTACTTTATTGACCTTTGAACCCTACAGGAAACATTTCCGTATCTATTGACTAGATCATGTGATCTATCTTTAACCCATTGTGTTGGGATTTTGGTCCACTTCCTAGTGGCAAACTATTTTTGCACTTTTGAAAACTTATTTAGGTGTAGTACATTTTCCTCTTAATGCATTGCTGAGTGTGTTTACCAGCATTTTAGTTAAATGTTTTGATCGATATTAGAAGGGAGATTGACTTGCCAGATTTGTCAGGTCATCTTATGTGATTTCCGTTTTTTGGTACTGTATTTATCAAGTGTTGGAATTAAAGAAGTTTTCCATCTAGTTCTGGGATTTCTAATGTTTTATTAATAATTTTTGATACAATGAATTAAGGAATCTTCCTTGTGGGAACAGTGGTCAAAGCATTGGATGTTTAACAAAAAAGTTGAGAGTTCAAAACAGCTGCCACTCCTGGGAGAAAGAGGAGAAAGTCTGTTTCAGTTTTGAAACCTCTGTGGGTTTTTCCACTTGGTCCAAAAGACTCTTATGAGTGGAAATCTATTTTCTGGAAGTGAGGTTGGTTTGTATTTATTTTGTTTTTACTCTTTGTGCAATAAATTAACTGATGAAGCCTTTCTGGTCATGCATGTGTGTTAAGGGTGTGTAAAGGGCAGGGCGCTCCACCTGGGTCAGAGTTTCTGTTGGCACATCCTAGACCAGAAGAGATGCTACCTGTGACCTGATCCACATCCTGGAGCCTCAGTCACCATTCAGGCGAGCAGAAATTCTAACTTTATTGAGCACTTCAAATCCAGTAGCCTGCCTGAGCTGGCAGATACACTGTCCTTGACCAGATATTTTGTTTACTGTTTCCCATAGAATACATGTTTGTTTTATGATATTTGTATCCTTAGTTTTTTCATAGTTTGCACTTATGGGTTACTTTGATGCACTGGGGGACAGATGACTTGCTTATTGCTGCTTTTTTAATAGTTTGGTATGTATATGCTTGCTTGGTTATAGTTGACTCTTTTAGGTACAGCACTTGTCTGCCAGTTTTCTGTACTAAGGCAACTTGTGTGTTACTGTAATACTAGAAGTGACACCACCAACATTTTAAATACCAGAAAAATCAGTAGTGGAAAAAAAAATCAATTGTGGACAGGTTGCATGGAGTTCCAAACTAAGACAAAGATGCAAGATTGGCCATTTACTTTTGAAATAACAGAGCTTTGAAAATCCTATGAGTAATAGAGGAACATTGTTACATATAGTACTCAAAGTAGAACCCCCTTGGGTTAGAAAACACTAAAAAAAGAGATAAACAACTGCAAACATCCATTAGTAATTGGAATGTGGAATGTACAAAATATGAATCTAGAGAAGTGGGAAGTTGTAAAAAAGAAAAAAGAACACATAAAGATTGGTATCTTAGGTGTTGGTGAGCTGAGATGGACTGATATTGGCCACTTTGAATCAGGCAATCACATAATCTATTATGCCAGGAATGATGTATTGAAAGAATGTCTTTTTTATATTCATAGTAAAAAAGAACAGGCTCATAAGGACAAATAGTGCACAAGACTATTATTGTAAAACCAAATAACTAGTAAGATATATATAAATGTCCCAAGTGGGAGGGGGAGAGGGGAGGGAGGCTCAAAATGAGGACCCTGATCATAAGATCGTAAGTTTGGTGGGTGGAGGGAGGAGATGAAGGAATTAGAAAAGATTCAGTGGGGATCTGGAATGGGTAATAGTGGGCATAGATCAATGGTGATTAATTTTATAAGGCACATGTATTGAAATGATCATATGAAATATAATGTGAATAAAAAAACTGTCACAAAAATTTTAAAAAGGTCTAAAAATTTAAGAAAACATTTTAATTGAAAAGAGGAAGAGTCTATAACAAAAAGGTACAGAATGAAATAAGAATTACCAAACATAATAAAGGACAAATTTAGAAACATAAATTAAAAAAAATATATATACATTAAAATATTAAATCACAACAAATAGAATTTAGACAAAAGAATATTTTAAGATCTATCCTGAAGTAAAATGCTTTGTGTGATATACTATCCATACCTATCCATGGATGATCTGTTAATATAAACATTATTTAGATACACATACAAATTACCAAAGCCAAAGATTAAGAAAATGAGAACTGCTACCACCTTTTGAAATCTGAAAATAATTGAGCATATAACTGAGTAACATTACTAGTAACTGGTGACTGGAATATAAAAGTTGGAAACAAAGAAGACTGATAGTTGTAAAATGTAGACTTGGTGACAGAAGCAAGGTTAGAAATTGAATGATAGAATTTTGTTCAATTGATGATATTATCAATTCTTTTTTTTAAAAAAAAAAAACCCAACACATAAATGGTGACTATATACTTGGACCTCACCTGATGGAATACACAGAATCAGAGTGACTATATTGAGGAACGAGTCAATGGAGAAATTAAATATCGACAGTCAAAAGAACACCAAGGTCTTGATCTCAGAACAAACCACCAATTACTCAAATGCAAGTTCAAGTTGAAACTGAAGAAAAATTAAAACAAATTCATGAGAACCAAATTCAACCTTAAGTCTATCCCACTGAATTTAACAACTATTTCAAGAATAGATTTGATGCATTGAACACAAATGACCGAAGACCATCCCAGTTGTGAGATAACATAAAGGATATTATCCATGAAGAAAGCAAAAGGTCTGCAAAGACAGGGAAGAAAGAACAGACCAAAATGAGTGTCAGAAGAGATCAAAATGAGTGTCCAAAGAGACTCTGAAACTTGTACTGTAATGGAGAGAAGTATAACGGGAAGAAATGATGAACAGAAGATTAAAGAGAAGCTTGAGAAGACAAAGTATTATCACGAAATGTGTAAAGAGCTCGAGTTAGAAAACCAAAAAGGAAAAATATGATCTGCATAAGCTCAAAAAACTGAAGAAAAAATTCATGCTTTGAGTTAAAATACTGAACAATTCTATGGACAAGAAGAATTAAAAGGAGATGTAAGGAATACGCAATCACTGTACCAGAGGGAATTGGTTATCACCAAGCTATTTTAGGAAGGAGCATATGATCAATAACCAGTGGAAATGAAGGATGAAGTTCAAGCTCCACTGAAGGCACTGACAAAAAATAAGACACTAAGAATTGATAGCAGCCCAACTGACATGCTTTAATAAACAGATGCAGCCACACATGTATTCAGGATGTATTCACTAGCCTATTCCAAGACATTTGTAAGAAAGCTATCTGCCAGTTGACTAGAAGAGATCCATGTTTTTCCCCGTTTGTTCCCATTCCCCCCAAAATAAGTTGGTCCAGCAGAATGTAGAAATTATCAAACATTACCATTAGTATCCCATGCAAGTGAAATACTATTGAAGATTGTTTAACAATTACTGGAACAGGGAACATCAACAGGGAACAGCTAGCAATTCAAGCTGGATTTAGAAGAGGCTGTGACTAGGGACATCATTGCTGATGCCAGTGGATCTTGGCTAAAAGCAGAGAATACCAAAGAGAGATTTATTTGTGTATTTTTGAGTATGCAAAGGCATTTGACCGTATGAATCATAACAAATTATTAATAACTTTGAGAAGTTATTAATGGAAATTCCAGGACACTTTATTGTGCTCATGCATAATTTATACACAGACTAAGAAGTAGTTGTCCAAACAAAACAAGGGAACACTATGTAGTTTAAAATTTAGAAAGACATGTCTCAATGTTGTATTCTTTCTCCATATCTGTTCAATCTGTATGCTAAGACAATCACTAGAAAAGCTAGACTTTGTATGAGAATGTGGTATCAGTATTGGAGGAGGACTTACCAACAGCCTGTGTTTTGCAGATGATGCAATCTTTTGGGTGGTTGTTAGAAGTGGCATTAGTTTCCTTTTTGGTGTTTTCTTTATTATTGTAGAGAAATCTGAGTTTTGCATGCAAATCAAAATAGCAGTGAGGTACCACCTCACCCTAGCAAGAATAACAAAGTTCAGTATTTCACTGAACAACAAATGCAGGTGAGATGGTAGAGAGATTGGAGGGTTCATACATTGCTGGTGGCAATGTAAGATGATGGGCCCTTTATGGAAAACATGATACTAAACTCTAAACATAATACTAAACTCATAATACATAAACTCTAAATAGTTGGAAAGGGAAATACCATTTGAGCCAGCTGTTCACTACTGGGTCCTAAAGAAATAAGAACTGATACACAAATAGACAAACACACACTCATATTTATTGTAGCACTAATCACAATAGCAAAGAGTTAGAAGCAACTCAAAAGCCCATCCATGAATGAATGGATAAATTGTGATGCATTCAGATAATGGAGTACTATGTAACATAAAAAAAAAGAATTCTTGAATCATTACATAACAAGGATGAATCTAGAGGACATTATTCTGGGTAAAATGAGTCAGCATCAAAAGAACAGATATTGTATAAGACCACTATTATATAAAAAAACTAAGGAAAGGGTTCTATATACAGAGAGAATCACACTAGGATGCTTATCAGGAGTGGGAAGTGGAGTACAAACTTATTTAGTTGTTTTGGTTG